GAACAGTGGCTACAAACTAAATCACAAGAAGTTCCATCTCAACATGAGGAAGAACTTCCTTACATTGAGGGTTATGAAGCACTGGAACAGGTTGCCCAGGGAGGTTGTGGATTCTCCCTCTCTGGGGACATTAAAACCCACCTGGATACATTCCTGTGTAACCTGCTCTAGGTGACCCTGCCTTGGCAGGGAGGTTGGACTAGAGGATCTCCAGAGGTCCCTTCCAACCTTAACAGATTCTGTGAAAGAGAGGTGCCTTCTTTTAAATTTGTCCTGTTAGATATATACTAAACAAGGCTGGATGCTTCTCACTTCCCTTGATTTGAAGTCAGTGTGGCAGCTAGTAGATTAAGTTGCTCTATTACATGAATAAAACTATCAGAATCTGGCCCAGAGAATGTTGCCTTTAGAAATGATTAAAACCATATTTGATTTTCTCTGTTGTATATCCTTTTCCTGCTGTGAGATTATTTACTACTATAATTTACAAAATCCCATGTAAACCCCCATAGTGTTACAAGGTAAGTAGTCAAAGACAAAACCTGAATGAAATGTGCCAGGTTCCCTTATATGTGTTGTGTCCTAATCAAGATAAGATCTTTTAATGGAAGATCTTTTATTGTCTTGTTTTGATTTCCAAGAGGACTTTTCTTCAGTGTTAGGTTCTCAGAATTTTTTTTTTCTAGTAATTAATATTGGAGCAAGCTTTTAGTATCTACCCTGGAAGGTAAAAACCCTTAATCACAGTAACATCATTAGTGCTTTCAAGCATTTAATTTTGATGCTTGACAAAGCGCATAGCCATTGATAAGAACAAATAAGTGTTGTGTGCAATTGAGGGAATAAAGAAAAGCATGAAAACCCCTAAGCTTCAAGTAATTAAATTTAAATATGTTATTTGAATTTAGCTGAGATAATGTACAAACTGTGGGTATATTTTTCAGTCAGTGAAAGACCCCTTGAGTAAACACGATCCATTTAAATTCAAATCATGAGGAGTGGAAAGTAAACCCTGCTGTGGGTAAGAAGGCATCTTCAATAAAACACTGGGCATTGTGTATCTTTGATATCTGAGTACTCAAGTGTTGTAGTTTTATAAAGGGCTATTTTCAGTCTTGGATGCCTACATGCCAGAGACTTTATCGCATCTATTTATTTCCTGGGTTGTTTTTTTTTTCTCTCCCTCCCTTCTAATTTGAACCAGTAATGAAAAACTGACACTCTGCTTCTGCCATCCTTTAAAGTGCCTCAAAACTGTTAGAATTCAGCACTCACTAGCCTTGGGATATGGCTTTATGGCATTTGGGTGAAGTTTTTGTAGTACATCTGTGCTCTTTCTCTCTCTGTAGGCCGTAAGCTCAGAACTGAGGTAATAAAACTACTAGTAGGTGTTTAATGGCAGGTTATTGAGGAAGTAGATGAAAGAAAATTGCAACATTCACATCGGTAGGGAGTGGGGGTTTTAAGGGAGAGGAGCTGCTGAGCTTTGAACTCAGGAAAGTTACACTTGGTGCTTTTGTTCAAGGGGGACCCCTTTTTAGACACCAAAATACCTCGTCATTGTGTGAAATGGGCTGTTCTGGTAGAATTGGTGCTTGGTATGTGCAGGCTGTGCATATGTGGCAGAAAGTTGCTATTGTAAGCAGTGATGATTGAGAAACACAGTGGTTGCTTAGTGCTCCTTTCCAAGCATCAGGGAGTAGGGTGGAGGAAAGTGCAAAAAGTGAAAGAAGAAGTGATCTCCCAATCCCTTCCATTGGTATTATGAGATCTTATTGCAAGCATCTTAGTTGTGCACATTGTTCTTTCTGGTCAAGCTGTCCTCAATGTGTTTGTGTAGGAATGTGTGTATCTAATGAACAGTTAGCCCACGCACATACGAGAGAGGATTCTGTCTTTTATTCTGCTCACGATCAAAGCATCAGTTTACAACCTGTTACATGTTTATCTTCACATCATCCCTAAGAGGCAATTTAAAGGCAAAAGGGAGAAGAACAAATAATGCAAATATTTTGCTGAAACTAACTCAGAAGGCCGTGACTGCTGCCTGGAGTGCCAAAATGAGCTGGCAGTGGTGATGTTCTGCTTGTTGTGGACTCTGCTGACCAGACTCTTATGCCCTCTTGGTAATATATGTGCAAGGAGATGCAGACCCATTGTTCTTCCAGAAGTCCAGTCTTCCAACTGCACAGGCCAGATTTGTAGGGCTGTTTACAGAAATAAAATGGAATGGTTAACTGAGGATTTTATCAATGCAGTGGGATAACTGTAGTAATCCCTGTGGGTACTGGGCCTAGTTCCTCAGGGTTCTCAGAGTTGCAGATCACCATCCTGTTGCATAGACCATTTTAGACCTGTGTTGCAGAGATGTCAGACAGCTCCTGGACAGCCTCTTGCAATTCTGGTACTTCCTCCTGTAGTTAACTTAGGCATTCTTAGGATTTCTGTACAGCATATGGAGAGGCAGGATGTACAGTAAAAACAAACTCAGAAACAAATTGCTCATCTGCAGAATACAGAACAAAAGAAAAGACTAAAAGTTAAGGAGGGTGAACTTGCATATAAGGGGCAGGAAAATAAAAAATAGGGCCATTCTTAAAATTGTAAGGAGTAACAAAGGAATTGACATATGAGTCTTCTTTGTGTCCTCAAGGCCAAGAACTTGTTTATTCCAGGATTGTCTAGTGCTTCAGATCAGCTGTTCATTTTTGAGAGACATGAGAAAGCACTTGTTAAGCTGTATAGAGCTAAGCATCTTTCACAGGGAGGGTTAGTTAATATAAATTCTTCTGCTGCAAATGGCCATTTTACGACAGAAGAAATGTGTTTTCATACAGCACTTACCAGCCCAATGTTGAAGGACTCACTAAATTCCAATATAGATGCCTGCAGAAATGAAATGGGAAACCAAGGAGGTTAAAGAGAGGATAACGGAAATAAACTGAACTTTCTCTTTACAATTCCTGTGTCAGACCAGCATAAGTGACAATGTCTTAGTAAAAGGAATTGCCTGTCTGCCCTGCACGAGGCACCAATTAACTAAGCAGATTTCTCTCCACTTGGTTTATCAGTAATGGTGTGCACGTGTGTGTTTTAGGGTAGCAAATCTGATTTCTAATTTATTAGCTGAGCAGTATTCTTACTGCAGAGGGGAAGGAAAAAAGGTCTGATTCTCTGTTGAGGAACTGTGAGGTTATTAAGCAGGTTCTCAGTCATGCCACAGATATAATTTGATGGAGCACACCTGGATCCTCCCGGTTGGCTCTGTTTATAGTCTCCTCTGTCATTCGGTATTTGCCTTTGCATGTGAGAGACAGGCAAGGAAAAAGAGATAAAGGTTCTGGAGGCATTTCTAACAGAGATGCCAAACTGTCAAATAGTAAATCGGGAAGCAGCTCCCTGATGGTTTCACATCAAGAGGAGACACCCTTTTGTGACTGTGCAGCGTCTACTGGTTATTTTCACTTCCATCAGAACTGTCTGATATGGTCAAGTAGGTTTGAGGCTTTCAACATTCAATTTTCCTTTCATTTATGGTGAGTGTTTTATTTATTTGTCTTTCTTGGTAGTTTTCAAGGATACCTGCTTCAAGGATACTTTTTACTCTCTAACGTTTTCATGGATCGTCATCCCAAAGTTAAGGGTAGAAAAAGAAACAAAAAGAAAGGGAAAGGGGAAAAAAAGAGCAACATGGTTACAGTGTCAGGGGACAAAAGAAGAAATATATTCGATTTAGGAAGACCTCTAATCTCTGGTTATACAGGACAGCTTTGTTAGATAAGATTAAAAATTTCATGAATGTCCCTTTTTATCCCCGGAGACTCTGCCATTTATTCCAGCTATTGTCAGCATCAAAAGAGCTTGATAACAGCTGGCTAGAGACGTGACCACACAGCAACACAACAGCAAGAGAGGGGCAGCCGGGTTCATAAATCCTCAGAAAACCCATTCCCCAGCACAGCCATGAATCTGCTGCTATCACAGGCAAAGCAAGAAGGCATTGTCCTTCAGCCAGTCAGAAACCTGAACTTCAGCATTAGCAGGGGCTCTATAGACAGTGCAGGGTGCACAAAGAGATGTTTTCCATTATCTCCTTCGTTGCAGCCCTTATTACTGACACAGATACAGTTTAAAGGATCTTGGAGTTTAGCTTGTTGCTAGGTAGAGTTTTTCCAAAAATCCCACAGCCCTTACCCTTGGCTGTGCAATCCTTCTTTTTCTATTCATCACATCAATGCAGCCCACATGGGACAGGGTCAGATGATGCCAGTTTGGTACACAATGGCTCAGTCTCTATCTTTTGGCTGGGAAGGAGCAACCAAAGCCAGAATCTGGCCCTTGGGTGCTGAGCTTCCCCATTCTCCAGGGACTGCTCACAGATGCGGGCGTAAGCAGAGTGAGTTAAGAGGCACAAATTGGCTCAGAGTCTTGTAATACAAGTTTCCTGGTTTTAATGGGAGGGTCCAAATTCATATGTGTTCAGCTTTATTCTGGTCTTACTTAATTCACTGGCAATATTTTCTCAGCTTTAGAGAAAACCAGATTGGAACCTCAGGAATTTCATAGCTCCTGTAAAGTAAATAACATCACTTAATTTTAGGAGGTGGAAGAAGAGAATCACTGCGGACCAAAACAAAAGTACAACTTTATGCACTGTGCCTGACAAAGGACAAAAAGAAGGCAGATGCTTTTAGTAAATTAATTTCTTACAGAGGTTTTGTACCTGGACATCATGAACATTGCTATGTTTAGACAACTGCACTGTTACTTAAAAACTCACCTATCTAGTATTATCCAGAAACCAAAACTGATCTTTATTAGAGATGATTAAATCTAGTTTTATTAGAGAAGATAGGAAAAATACTTAATGCTTCCAATTCCCTCCACCCCCACAAGAAAAACACATTTTCTGAAAGTGCTAGTGTTGTGAAAGTTGCAATTAAAAATGTATTCCTCATTAAAACTAAATTATTGCCTTTTTTTTTTTTTCCTCCTGCCAGCTCCGTCCCCAATTGCATTGATCCAGGCTAAAGAGATAACAAGGCACAGTGTTGCCTTAGCTTGGCTGGAACCTGACAGGCCAAACGGAGTCATCCTGGAGTATGAAGTCAAGTACTATGAAAAGGTAACTGTTCAAAAATGGACAAGCAAAGAGTTCCCTTGTGGTTTGAGCAGAGCTTTTGACTTCATTCTGTTGCAGTTTATTTCCAGATAGGATTCCTTCATTTGAAACCAAATAGATTCAGTTTAATAAAATCCAATTAAGGATTTCATGCACTTGAATGGTTGCTTGAAAGAATAAGACTCATAGGCTGTTCCAGCTCTATGGTAGGAGTTTGGTTTGTTATTTTTTCCTACCTAGGAGCTGAGCTTTTGCAGCAAGCATATTTATAATGAGAATCAATAATGTCGGGCAGAAGTGAGACATTAGCTTTACTTCATAGACAGAAGTATAATAATGGAGTATATAGCAGAGTCATAATAATAAGATCTGTTTGCCGATAGCTTCTGCTAGAGCGATGGGGTAGACTGGCTGCCTTTTAATAGAGAATAAGGAAAGAAAATGACATTCTTCATACTTTCTAAGTTAGAGGGAGATGTTAGTCCTTCAAATAATTTCTCAAGTATGGAATTATGAAAAGCACTATTTTCTTTGAAGGGTCTCTGCAAAAAATGAACAATTACCTGCTCCTGCTTGTGTGCTCTCTCTCACATGCATGCTTCTAACTTTTTTTTTATAATCACTTACTTGTTTTCCTAACACATACAGCAAAATACATCTGATTTGCAGGGAAGCTGGATTATTACATTTTTTGATGGATTTTCCAGCCAGAAATAGAAAAAATTATAAGACTAGACTTTCTGGAAGACATTTTCCAGGTCTTTTCTTTCTTAAAATATTTTAATCGCTTTTTTATGGCTTCTGGCTGGTAGGAAGAAAGTGCCAGCATGTGTGAGTAAAATGTGCTTGTTCATCAAGAGGATCCTATTTGAACACTTGGCTGTTTTCCATAGGTTTTCATTGTGTGATTTCTTAAATAATCAGTGATATATGAGCATCACACCTACTGCCTCATCCTTTTTTGGCTTGCTTAGAGCTCCGTGCAGCACGCAGTGCTAGGAGTATTGAGCAAGGCCAACAGCAGGAGCCCTTAGGATGTATTTTGAGAATTCCTCCGTTGTTACTCATGTTTTTTCATCATGACAGTTTTGGCAAGGAAGCGAGGTTCCACGGTTCATGGTGCAGTGAGGCATTTTTACTCAGGTCACCACTGTGTTCTCTTATTGTTAGGACCAAAACGAGCGCAGCTATCGCATTGTGAAGACAGCCTCGAGGAATACTGACATCAAAGGCTTGAACCCTCTCACTTCCTATGTGTTTCATGTGAGGGCCAGGACAGCAGCAGGATATGGAGACTTCAGTGGACCATTTGAGTTCACAACTAACACAGGTAATGACTTGCCTACTGAATTCTGCTTTTCCTCAAGCAAAGAGTGTGAATATATCTGAGCTGTGTGTTGGGAGTTTCCCATTGGATTCTTGGACTGTGGTGTGTCTGTTCTGAGAAAATGTTCTTCTGTGGCCACACAACTGTTAGTGATGCCATGAATCTGGCCCAAGACATCTATTTGGATTTTAGAAGTGAAAATACTTCAGTGTGGCATAAGGAAACATGCACCTATAAACACATGGAAGCCTTTGATGCTTGAGAAATTTTGTTTCCTGAAAATGTAGGTGTTTGCACAGTTCTGGAAAATCTAATTTCCAAGAGAACAGAGCCCTGTTACTCCCCGTTTCAAGGCATTGACACAGATCATTTAGGTACCCTACATCAGCTCACATATTTGCACTTTTCCTTAGACAATCACATAAAGACAAGAATGTTCAAATTACATTGTCAATAAAGCTTTTCACTTTGCTCAAGGAAACATGCAAACTTAGCCCTCATAATGTTTGCTTTTTGGTGGCAGGAAGGCAATGTGGCCAAGCCTGTTTTATTTTGGACATACAGGTCTGCTTAAGTTAAAGCAACATCCTTCAGGATGTTAACAACTGAAAGTGATCAATACAGCAGGAAAGAGGGAAGACACTTTTAAATAACTTACTCTCTTTATGTCAGTTCGGGAATGATCATCTGGGCCCACTGAGAGAAAAAGGAGGAGGAAAGAAGTGTGGAAAACCATTAGAAGAGCAAAAAAATTTAGCCATTGTACCCTCTGAGCAGCACTGAAGGGGAGAAGAAGAGGCAGTCCTTGTTTCCAGTGAACTGAAGTTCCCCAAATCATTATCAAACATCACGTCTTCAGCTCGTTAGTGTCCTGTTGGAAAATTGTGTCAAATTACTATATAATAAAGGCCTGAAAGTAGATTTGAGTGCTACTCTAAACTGCCTTCACAAGCCAGAAAGCTCACTGAGTGCTACCTATGTTGATTTTTTGAGGGTGTCTAACACTAATGCTCCCTCTTCTGTTTTCAGTTCCTTCCCCCATCATTGGCGATGGTACCAATCCCACGGTGCTTCTTGTTTCAGTGGCTGGCAGTGTTGTTCTTGTGGTCATTCTCATTGCAGCCTTTGTCATCAGCAGGAGGTAAGAACTTAAGCTTCTCTCTCCCTCTCTCTCTTTCATCAGGGAGCTTTTTGTCTCCTCCAAACAAAGCTAAATTCTTTGATTAGCATCATAAACAGTACATTTGCATTACAAGCCTTCTCCCATGTAGCTTTGATCTTCTCAACATTAGTACCAAGCAGCATGTGATGTAATGGCAATAGTTCCAGCTCTATTTGCCCTTCAAATGCAAAGCTGATTCCAATAACTGGCATTGAGAAGCAAGCCAGCTAGAGATTTGTGGCTAGTGTAATCTGAAGTTAAGTTTAATGGGTATGGGTACAGTAGATTTTCTTGGACTGACTCCTGATAGACAGGGAATAAATAACGGCACTGTTGTGAGGTAAGCCATCAGGCTGCTATGCTTGTGATCTGTGTGTTAGTCTGTACGAGTCTGCATTAGTCTGTTGGGTTAGTCCTTCCAGTGTGAGTGGCTATGACTGTAAAATGGAAGCCACAGTCATTCAGCATCATGTGCAGTAACACAGCAGGCTGGATCGATCATTATTTCATCAAAGCAGCACCATAATCTCCTCCCAAGGACTTGTTCATTCTCCCAAATTCAACCCAGGCGTCAGGAACCTGTGAGTAGGAGGACAGTGTAGCAGAAACAGTGTGTGAGTGTTTCTGTCTTCATCTTTGTGTTCAGTCTCATTTAAAAAGATCAGCATGATCTTGCTTCAGTGTAATTTTGAGATAGAGCTGCATGTGTCATTACTGTATCTGAAGCCTGGGATCTGAGGGATGCACATTTTGTCAGTCTCTGTTGGTCAGTTTAATGGCATCAGCTGTAAATGTGCACAAATTCCTCTTGATTTGCTCTCTTACTTTAAATTGTCCTAAAGAGCAGTTAAATCACTATGATTGTAATATCTGGAAGGTAGACATGCATTATGGTAGGTTTCTGTGGGTGTTCAACTCAAAGCCTCCATGCTGGCAATAAGAAAGAAGAGCAGAACATATGAAAAAGTGTTGCAGAGAGACAAGTTTATTAAAAGCCATTGCAACAGAAAATAGCATCACTGGGCTTGATGGCTTAATGTCCTCTCCGCTTCTATTGATCACTTTATTATTTAAGGCAGGATTGATAGCAGGATACATTGGATTTCTAATTATGAGTCGCCACCTTGGAGAATTGAGCCTGTCGACCTGCTTTGAGATGATTCCTTCCCCTCCTCCCCCTGTAAAAAAACATCGCTTCCCAAGGCTGATAAACACTGTTTGGTGATTGGCCCTCAATGGATCACTCTTTAGAAAATGAACTGTCAGCCCCTTGCCCTCGTATTGATTCTCGTTAGTATCGGCCATAAAGCTGTCAGAGGAAGGGCTGCCTGGAGCCAGGTAGCTGACAGAGCCACTGATGTGACTGTGCTCTCAGACAGGTCTGGTCACCACTCGGGCTGTCTGCTCAGTTATCTCTGCCCGTGAGTGTGCAACTCAGACAATGGCACAGCGAAGAGCAGGTGAGCAGTCAGGACAAAAGGCTGGTCCAAGCACTGGTGGCAGTGGAGATAAAAGCATCCTGGTGGCCATGGGCTCAGAGATGTCCGATGGCTCTGCACTCATAGCTCTCGGAGAGGCCGTGGAACGGGAAAGGCATAGCAAGATGAATGAAATACTAGGACAGTGAAACTGCTCTGTGCATACTAGTGTATGGTGCCTTGCTAATTAACAGCCCTCCTCAATACACAGGTCGCCAGTAGCTGGAAGTAGCTCTCAACAAACAGAATCTACTTTAATATTCACTGTTAGTCTGATGATTTTAACCACTGTACCAGTGTCATTGAGAGGTGTGGGCTTTGGGGATACCTCGTGATGTTCCTACGCCAGCAGAAGTTAATAGCAAAATAATTATACTTTGTTCCAAAATTACTTCAGATGAGAAAAAGCTTTTCTGTCCATACAGTCCTCATGAGAAGGTTTTGTAATGTAGCCATGACCTAAAAGTCATATTTGTACAATCAAACCCATGTTTTGGCCTGCAGACATGGTCTCTGCATCCATGAGCCAAATGTGGGAACTGGGCATATGCTGTAGGTGCCCACTTCTGAACAGTAGGTTATTACTAGTAATTTAGCATGACATCTTTTCAAGACATTGTTCGAATCCCAAAATTCATCTTTAGAGCAGAATTTGTCAAAGGACTTTGCCTTCAGGCAGCTCAAGCTGTTTGGTTCTGCCCTGTGACCACAGTGTTTGTGTTAACGTGAGAACTAATGTGCCTAATGTTCGTTTGAGTTTCCAGGGGTTTAGATGGGCACATCCACAGAGCAGCATGCAGGAGGTAGTATGGGTGTTTCTAAACCCTGCTCTGCATGAATGCTGAGGGAAATTACAATATCTCGAATAGAGTTGTAAAGGACTCGATAAAGTGTAGAACAGAAAGAGACACTTTTTAAAAGGGCTTTGATGGAGTAAGATGGTCCTACAGAATCCTCTGGTCATCTGAAAGTTTCTGTCAGAAATTCTTCCAACTCATTGATTGCTCCTTGCTCTGTCAACACCTGAATGCATTTGCCCACCTTTTGCTGGTGGGGTTGCAGTAGGTGCTCCACCAGCCTGGTGCCTGGGTACCCCCAGCCCCTCTCTTGTGTGGGGAGGAGGAGCTGGAAGCAGCGACGTGGCGCCAGGTCCATGCTGATTCACCTCAGTGCGTGCTAATACCCTCTGTTGTTACCTCCTCTTCATCACCAGCCCCCACCTGTAGATGTGCCTGTGTCTCTGACCCCTGCAGTTTCTGAAAGCTTCTGTGTTCTTTTGCTGAATGCTGGCTATTTAATCACCACCACCCAAATCCCTGTAATTACAGGGCTCAAATCTGGGACAAAGGATCCCTTCTGCCACTCAGGTGAGCTGCCCCAGAGGCAGCCCCAGCCCCTGTGTGCCCCATGGTGCAGAGCTCCTGGGCTGCTCTCGAGGACAATGGCACAACAGGAGTGTCCTGCCCAAAGCCAGGCAGGAGAGGTCAACAGGTGACACAGGCAGAAGTGGAAGTAGATAGTTAGTTTTGAAGGTATTATTTTAACTTAATAAGCTGCAATTATATTGCTTGAACAGTAATCCCTTTGTTTCCCATTGCTTTTTGAATGTCTTTGGGTTTTAGTGGGGGAAGGTTATTTTTTAATCTGTTGTTAGAGTTCTTGTACTTTTTAAAAATAAGATAAAGAGCATTTTTTTATACTTAAAATGCTTTAATGCAAAGCCTGTTTTGTGTTTCTTATTTCCCATCTGTGCCTGAACATTAATAAAATGAATTTGAAGGGTCCTATTTAAAATGCAGAATCTTTTTTTTTCCCTTTTTTTTTCTCACTTCTGAGAGAAGTTGTATAATACCTGAAACAACCTCTGCAGTCCCCTTAACTGACCTGGTCCCATGTGGCACCGGGTGAGATTTGTGCTGCCTCTCCTTTCTTACTCAGTTTGGGTCCAGTGTGCTTTTTCATAATGCTGCTCTTGTGATTTGGAGCCATTTGCATTTAAAAGATTTTCATCAAGAAAAGAAGCTCCCTGTGGTTTAGGGCTGGATGTGTACCTGCTTTTTCTGTCTGAACACAAGTCCTGTTGATGCTGGGAGCTGTGAGGCTTGGTTCAAAGATCAGGTAGTCTTCACATGTCAAACAGGATTTCTTTTCCTTCTGTTTCATGGTTAATTTATATTTCTTTTTTATTGACATAGTGTGTTTAACACTCAGCACTAAACAAAAGGCTGGGAGTTGGTCTCCCAGCTGACAGTGATGGGAAGCTCCCATTCCTTGCAGGACAGGCACAGAGTGGGAAGTGAGATGCCTTTTGCTAAGGGGCAGAAGAGTTTTGCTGATGGGAGGGTGAGACTTATGATAATTTGCTGCAAGCAAGGCTCTCAGTCATGTGTTCTTCCTGCTATCTGTGCGGTTTTTGACCCCTTTTGACTCATATCTGATAGGTCTTTGTCTCACCTGCTCCCATTCTTTTCCTCACCTTATTCACTATTTTAAGCCTTTTAACCCAGTCTCCTCCCTGCGTACCTAGCAGGCCTGGCCATCTGCCCCACTCCAGGCAGCAGGTTGCATGTTGCAGGCAGTGGTGGTCTTGCCTCTTGTTCTCCAGGCTTGGTTTCTCCTTCTGCCTTCCCTCTTCTTCTCTCCACTCCTAACTCTTGCCAGTTAGCTAACCTGAGTCTGACACACTGGGAGATGTGGACTTCTGTAGGAGAATAAGCAACAGTAAGCCCTTCTCTTCAGCAGTGTCTGTTCTTATGCTTGGTTCTGAACATTCAGTGATGGATGGGTGAAACCCCAAATCAAATCTCTATATCTACATCCCATTAGATGCTGGGGAACTTCAAACCTCTACACATTTGGCTGTGCCGACTCTGCATTATCCTTCCTAACAGACTAACCTCTTGTATTAACTTCTCTTAATGCTACTTATCCATTGAAGTTTAAATCTGAACTAATGAAATACATAACTAGATACAATATCATGGGTGTAGGTGTAGAAGTAGTAATCTATAGAATTAACATACTACATTATTGTCTCCAGCTCAGAGGGTTAGTAGGGGAGCTCTGCCATCAGGAGTTTTTCAGCCTCTTCAATTATACAGTGATTAAGCGAATAAACAAAATCCTTGGGATCTGCATTTTAGATGGTCTGAGTTGGTGTGTTGTTTGGGATTTTTTTAGCTGAGGTCCTGATTTCTGTGTTAAGAGACTTGTTTCGAGTTTAAATTTGCAGTTAAATAAGTGTATTGATATTGGCATTTGCCTAATTACATTTGAAAATCAATCTACCAAAACACCTCTCTTGTAGCATTTAAATCCCTCTGTGGTAGGGCTTGAAAGGCAATTTTGCCCTTCAATTGCAAATGTATGTTTGAAGAAAAAGTAGCTGAAACACAAACGTTCTTTTCTTTCTTTAAATGCTGAGATGCAAATAGATTTGTGTTTCCCCGGATGATGCCAATAACACTCAGAGCAGTGTGAGGAGAGGAGGCTCTTGCCCTGCTGGTGTGTGTTGTGTCATGGGCTGTGGCAGGGGAGCTGCAGGTGCCAGCAGCTCAAGTCTCAGCAGGTCAGGACAACTGAGCTTGTCTCCGAGTAAGATACTTACGTTGAACTCTAATGCTCTGTTTTGTTCTGACAGGCGCAGTAAGTACAGTAAAGCTAAGCAAGAGGCAGATGAGGAGAAACATTTAAACCAAGGTAAAAGGCCGTGGTGCTTGGGGGCTTTGATATGGATTGTGAAACACGTCCCATGTTCTGATGATTGGGAAATAAGGGATCACATTCCTCAAATCTGCTTCTGTTTTGCTCTCTTAGACATATCCTTTCTCCAAAGTATTTGCTCTAGTACCAGGATAATTAGAAGTATCTGGGTAAAAGGTTTTGAGGGTACAGACAGGAGAAAGGTTTGTCAAATTTTCCCATTGTTTCTTGCCACTGAAAGACACCTCTTCTTGGCCACTGATATCTAGGCAGGATGTTTCCCCAGAATATCCTGCTAAAGCAGTTTCTGAATGGGCCAGAGGCAATCTTGCATGAAAGGGAATGTAAACTTTCCTACCCGTTTTCCAGCACTGAATCCTATTGTTCCTTCCGTCTTGGTCATCCATGTACCAAACCCAGGACCTGAGCTCAGAATTTCCTGGCTCCCATAGGGAGAATGGGATGTGTTTTAGACTCACAGGTCCATGGACAGGCTGTTGGCCTGGTAGTGATGCAGTGCTTTGTGAAGCTCATTAATTGGCAAAAGCTTGATTGCTTGCATCAATATTAGGCAATATTAAATGTTTACATTTAAAAATATTGCACTGGGGGAAAAATACATTAAGTCCTTCCTTCCTTCATCAGTCATTCCTGGCTTGCAGTACATTTTTATTGTACACTCTCTTTGCTGTTGTATATCATTAAGGCTTCAATCTCATATGTTCTGTGTTCAGCAGCATGTAGATCAGTGACTTCAAATAAAACATTTCTGCCTTGCAGGTGTTAGAACATATGTGGATCCTTTTACATACGAGGATCCAAACCAAGCTGTGAGGGAATTTGCCAAAGAAATTGATGCCTCCTGCATAAAGATTGAAAAAGTTATTGGTGTGGGTAAGTGCCAGAACTTTTGCATATTTTTTTCTGTAAATATACTTCTAAATTGTCTTTTAGGAAACATGATCCTATGATTTTTGTATGACAGTTCCCCCAAATGTACTGACATAGCAGTTAGACAACACAAGTGCATGCTTCATGTTTGTGACTGTGGATTCTTGTGCCTTTTTCCTTTAGGGGAGTTTGGTGAAGTATGCAGTGGACGTCTCAAAGTACCAGGAAAAAGAGAGATCTGTGTTGCTATCAAGACTCTAAAAGCTGGTTACACTGATAAACAAAGGCGAGACTTCCTGAGTGAGGCCAGCATCATGGGACAATTCGACCACCCCAATATCATCCACTTGGAAGGTGTAGTGACTAAATGTAAGTAGGTAATTTTCATGACAAGTCCAATTTGGAAGTCACGGAGAAATTAAGTCTGTGGTGGTGTGTGCTGGTTGGGTTTTTTCTTTTTACCCTCTTTGCCTTGAAATGACAGATGGAACAGATCCACTGATAGCTAATAGGAGGAAATCAGTGCAGAACAGGTCATTAATCTTGTTGTCAGCTATAAATGGGTTTATGGTTTCAACTGATACTCTATCTGTAGGCAGCTTGTACAAGATTTTGTAGGGGGAATTAATACTGCAGGGGTTGCCTTTTTTTCCCCCCTTCTTGCTATGCCAAGCAGGCATCTTTAACATCTTTGCTAGACTGAGCTGATTGTTACAGGATAGGCAAAAGCAGATGGTGAGCAAAGAATTCAAAATGGTTGGGGGAAAAATACCAAAACAAAACTCCACAGTCATATGTTTAAGGTACAAAGCACAGATGTAAGGAGCAAGCCTCTGAAATGAAGTAGGCTATTTTAGTGTGAAACTTGCTTCTTTGTTTTCTCTGATTTACAGGTGTGATAGTTTCGCTCTGCAGAATTTACCTGGCTGATCTTTTTGTTTGCTTGGGTTGGGTTTTTTTAAAGTCTGTTATCATTCACTGTGCCTTGGAAAGAGAGTGACAGTGCTCGCTGGATGCTGTCTGTAGGCTAGAGCTGAAAATACACCTGTGAGACAGCTGTGCTTGGGTCTGACTTGATAAAGTGCCACTCTGATGATGTAGTTATTGTCCTGACTCTGACTGCCGTGGGTAGCATGTTGGCAAAGCCAAGGCACTGATTGCTGATCCTAAAAGACCCTTTGGGGCTTGGGGCTCATGCTCAGGGTAGCAAAGAAAGCAGACAGTGATCTTGTGAGCTGCTGTCAAAGAGTGGAATTTGTGAAGCTTGCCTTCTGCAGCTGATAGTGTGCATGATGAGCATGAACGCAGGGTATTAATGGTGCGTTGAATTAAAATTAGGGATGGATGAAAAGTTGAAATGTAAAATATTACTAGAAGAGCAGTCTCTCTCATAGAGGGTTGTCAAAGCCATCAATATAACGGTAAAACCCTGTCCTTCTTGAATGCTAGTGAGAGCTGGATATTTACTCTGCCCCTTGTGTTTCTGCATATCTTACCCTTTCTCATTTGTGTTGCTGTCTCCTAGTCTGCCTTCTCTCAGTTGTTGAAAATGCCTCATACAGTGCGTGGCTGTTTGCTTGTCAAGGCAAATAGTGTTATGAACTGATTTTGACCATCTTTTACTGAGAGTCTCCCTCAAAATTGAAATGAAAAGTCTTTCTCTTTGTTGTCGCTGTAACAAAGGGGAGGCAGGTTGTGATCAGGCCACAAATGTTTGCTAGACAGTGATTTTTCTAGCACCTCTGTAAAAGAAAGGCAACAGGAGAATCTTTGTGTTGAAATCCCACTGTGGCTGGAACCCCCTGAGCTGTTAGAGCTCTAGAAGTTATAAATGACTGAATAAATTTGCATAATGCAGTTGTCACTGAATGAAAATGATTGGAAATTTTCACCGAGGAGGTGGTAGCCTGCTCCTGCTCCATGGCCTGGCTGGCAGGAAGCAGCACTCCTGCAGCAGCCTCTCAGAGCTGGGCTGGTGGGTAGACAGGGCTACTTAAGAAGACATTTGTCTCCATTTCTCCATAGGTTTTTCTGAATGCTGTGATAAATGAATGCATTTAATAAACTGGAAATTAAAATGTGCGATAAATAGTGGCATAGATGGGGGTTGAGAGAGACAGCAAAACCCCATGAATACATTATTGGCTGCTAGTCAAGTACTTTAATAATTGACTCACTGATGGTAACTTCTCCCTCCTCTCTCTATCTCCCTCCCCTGCTAAAGAAGTGCCTGAGTAATGAAATTACATGTTAATGCACTGAAAGAGAGTCTCCCTTTCTTCCCTTCTACGTTGACATAGTATCTTTTGATTGAGGAAGGTTAATTAAAACTCATTTAGCTGTATTTGTTCAGTGGAAGGGTTAGTGTCACAGTTGCGAAGGATAAATGAAACAGTGCCATATGCAGATTTGGTTGGAGTTTTTCCTCTTTCTATTAAAGAATGGCTTGCAAAGGTGATTTAGAGGAAGAATTATGTTTTATCACATCCTTTTACTAAAGGGTATACTCAGCCAAGGACACTAAGCCATTCATCTAGAGCTGTTTGCTTTATGCAATACTATTGCTTCTCTGCAGTGTTCATGCAAGTCAGACAGGGTTCCGCTGCCAGACTGGCATTTCACAGGCATGCCAGCTTGAATGAGACCAAAGCAATAAGAGTTTGGATATCAGCAGGGAAGGGAATTGAAAGCAGGAGTAGTGAAAGGTCTGCAAAGGATAGGTTGGGACTTAAAAGGTGAAATAAGTAATGATAAGGGATATAAGTGATGTATGGCACATAAATGTTGACCATACTGGTAAAATATTCAATACAGACAGTCCTTATAGTGTATTGTTTTCTAATGAAAAAGGTCACTTCAAAACCAGGAATCTGAGAAATGACGATAAAAGATAAATGAAGATAAAAAGATCTTGGTGAAAGATGCACTGAGGTAGAAATTATTAGGGGAACTTCAAATGCTGCAACATTTCGTGGTAGGGTAATTTTGAGAGATGGTGTTCTGGAGCAGATACTTGCTGGTGACAGAAGCAAGGAAGAATTGAGTAGTTCTGAGACCTCTGTTGCCAAGATGGAATTGAGCTGTCTGCAGTCTAGGTGACATGACCATTGACGCCTTCTTTCCCCATAAAGTTTCTGGATTCAGAGCTGCTCCAGGAAGTACAAAAGCTGAGTGTCTCAGGGACACCATCTTTTATTTAGGAAGAAACTCTACAGTTCCTGTAGGTGAAGCATAAGTGGGAGGAAGGGATGCCATGCCAGACAGCACTGATTGCCAGGTGCTTCCTTGACTTCAGATGGGCTTAACAGTGCTCATCTTGGGACTGTACTTGTGCCATTTGACCTTTGAAATGTCACTTCTGTACCTTTTGAGATGTTACTAGACCAATTTCTACAAATACCTTAATGCCACATATGCAGCATGATTTAACCATGAAATAATTAACGTTGCTTGTATGTACCTAAATGTTTTCAGTTCCAGCATTGTATGACCTTTATAAAACACTAAAAGACAACATCAAAGATTATTTATGTATTTACTGTTGTCTAGGCAGGAGAGTGCCTAGAAAGCATCGCTGTACTGTCAGTAACAGTACATGACGTTTCTCCTCAGGTTGCCCAGTTTGGCTCTGCTGTTGCAGCCTGGGCAGCTGAGTGCTGCTGGAGCACTGTGCCCCACATGTGCCACAGTGCATTGAATCATTTAGCCTGTGGTTGACTTCAGGAGCCAAATGGCTTTGGCTCATTTATAAATAACTAGAGACATGGAATACAAATTGGGGATAGAGAAAGTTGAGAGGAACAGCCTGTATTTTTCATTCTTGAATCCAGTTATCTTGGAATACCTTGTAGCTCCTGACAGCTTCTAACTTGCCTAAAGCGCTGATCTTTCAAAAGAGGCAGAGAGACCAAAGCATTCAGAAATTCCATTTTTCTAGTCTGCAAGCAGTTTAATTGCACTAAAGATTTTTGTCAGGTTTGAACAGATCTTTGTTTCTTAGCTCTCAATTATCAATTCATATACTCCTTAGGGAACAGGAGCCACTTTAGTTAAAGACCTTGTCAGTGCGTCGAGCAAAGGGTTAACCTTCCAGATGGGCCCTTTAAATGTTTCTGCCCTATAATATTTCTTCTCATGCTCCCCACAGCTGAGGCATAAGCTTGGTGCTTTTCAAATTAAATTAGATTGTGTAAGCCAGGTGTCTTGGCAGTAAAATCATGTGCAACCCATTTTTATCCCATCAACATCGGCGTTCATCAAGGAATTGTGTTTTTCTTTCTGCGAACTCTAGGTAAACCGGTAATGATCATAACTGAGTACATGGAGAATGGCTCCTTGGATGCCTTCCTCAGGGTAGGTGATTTCTTCAAAAGCTAAGGGGATTTTATACTGGGAAAAAATTTCTGGTTTTCTTGTTAAGGGTTTGTGGTTTTTTTTCCAGAAAGATACGAAAAATCAACAGTTTTAAAGAAATTGTTTGCACTTGGGAAATTCTGTTTTCTGGTGTTGCTCCTATCAAAAACCAGAATAAATAGAAAGGGGAAGAATATAGAATAAATCTAACCTTTAAAATAGCAGGGTCTTAAATAACCCATGTTTAATGGGAACAGTTCTGATTTGCTCCAGTTCTGAAAGCATCGCAGTGCTGTAGGCTCATTAAAATCAGATTCATTGCAAACTGGATACTGCATCACTGGAAGCTGTGACAGAACCTCTGGGTTTTTGCTTTCCTGGTGAATTATAGACACTCGTCAGCAGAGTGAGGAAATAATATTGCATTTTATTTGAGAGAAGATGGGAATCCAGAGCTACGCTCTTTGCCAATTTCAGCAATGGCAATAATGTAGCTTTTAGCTTAATGCTCTGTGATTTTCTTCCTTTCCCCATATGCAGAAGAATGATGGCAGATTTACAGTCATCCAGTTGGTGGGGATGCTTCGTGGCATTGGCTCAGGAATGAAGTATCTCTCTGACATGAGCTATGTGCATCGGGATCTTGCTGCTCGCAACATATTAGTCAACAGCAACTTGGTCTGCAAAGTGTCTGATTTTGGCATGTCGCGGGTCCTGGAAGATGACCCTGAAGCAGCTTATACCACACGGGTAAGGAGGGAAAAAAAATGTCTAGTGGGTTTTCTTGCCTACATACTGGTTTTGTCTGACTGTGTGGGAGGTGGCAGTGGTTTGTGTTAAAATAATCTCAGTCACAAGTGAAAACCTATATCACAATCTAAAAGAAAGCACAGGCCCAGACTCCACAGCTAGAATAAATTGATACGGTGTTAGTGCTGCAGCAGTGGCCACACCAGTATTTCTCTGCAGGTGTGACCGATGTATTCCTCTGGTTCCTTCATCATGCCAGAGCACATGACAGGAATCTGATGCCAGAAATTAGAGCCTGGACTTCTGTTCGTCGTGATATCTACAAACATGCATAATGGTTTCCAAGTGGCTGGTCCTACTGAGGTTTGATACAGCAAGTGTAGATTATGCCACCAAAAAAAAACCACAACCCAAGATAAATCCTCTTTTGCCCAGTCATAAATCTGACCTAAATATTTGGACTGGGATAAAGTGTAGGGCCTGCATTTCCATTTTTTGTTTCTTTCCCATTTTATCTATGTTTCAGCATCCCACTGTTAACTGATTTTGCTAAAGCCATTTTAATATGCTGCATGTGGAACAGGATTAAAGTAAGTCCTGGCCACAAAACAACATCCCAACCATTACCAGCATTTGTATCAATACCTCTGATATCAACATACACGCAAAGAAAAAAAAAGTCAGAGTTTATAAAGTCTCCTTTTTTAATTGCTTATTTTCTTCGTTTTTAAATATCTGCCATTCTCCATCTGTTCTCCCTAGTGCAGAGTTTGTTTGCAGCACTCAGATCTTGCAGTTTAATCCCAACACTCATCCTTTAATGGATTCACAGTTCATTACAGGGAAGGATAGACTCATGTCGTATTAAATGCTGGCCAGCCTTGGTATTTCTCACTCATCAGGGTGGCAAGTGGAAGAAGCAGAAGCAGAGGTCTGAAAAGCTGTATTCAGGGAAATCAGAGTTTAGACAAGTGTACAAGGGCAAGACAGAAATGACTGAAATGCTTCCCTTTGAATTTAGTGAGTGGAGATATAGTATTATGTTTGCTCTCAAGAGTAAACTGGAGAGAATCAATGACATTTGCTTTACAGTCATTGTCTTCATTTGGTATCAGTAATGAAGGATCAAGAAAATTTGGATTAGCTCCACTGTGCTCAAGCAGCTAAATATAAAGAGCTTATTGACAATTTTTAGAACGACAACCATGTGTAAACAATGTCCGTGCATCTGTGTCTGAAAGGAGGAATAAAGCTTCTGCATAACCAGAGAGGATGCAATAGAATGCAATTTTTAGAGCAGCCTTTTCTAAGGGAATGGTGTGTTCTGCTCCTGTTAGTAATATAACTCATTAAAGTGAGAGCATCCTATAGCCACACAAGGCACATATTGCTACAACCTGATTCACAAAGGGACTCATGCAAAGGCCAAAGAATCCAGGAGAAGGACCCATTTTGATTTCCTGTGGCTTTGGAACAAGTCCATATTAAACACTTGAGAAATATAGTAGGACAATATAGCATTAAGTATGCACACACTGTACTCAGTTATGGATAAAAACTATCTAGAAAATTGTTGGGGAAAAAATATCAAAATAAACTTCATCAAAAAAACATAAAAGCAAATGAAAAAAAGCTAAAATCTTTGTTCTGCTTAAGTCATTCCCCAGATGGAACTGCAGGAAACCAAAAGCTCAATTAAAAACACCTTGCATATTAGCATAAACAAAAGGAGCAATCTCTGGCCTGGGATCACTCAGCTAAGGCAAAATCAGATAAACAGGATGGAATGAGTTCCTTTTTAAATAGTGCAGGACCTCAGTGGCCCAAATCAGATGCCCAAGTGCTTCTGTTTGTTTAAAAAGAAGTATTGCAAGAGGAGGCAGCTCTCTCCAACAGGTATCAAAAGGAGCCTTGTACCATGGTCTAGTGCTAAACTCCTCTCCCAGGGTCTGGGAGAGCTCAGAGGCTTGCTTGCCATCTCATTTCTCTGGTAAGAGTTGGGATATTGCCCATGGGAAACACCACTGTATTCATGAATCTTCCCAGTTTATCCTCTCTTTATTTTACCTTTTTGAAAAGCAAAACATTTTTAATCCCATTTTTCTGAAACAGGCCGAACAGGTCAGACAGGCAAGCAAGGAAATAGTAATTAACAGCATGTAGTTATTTGTTTTGTCAACTAAATATCTAATATATACTTTGTAAAACCCCTGGCTTCTTCTCAGGCTTCGGCATAGCCCTAAGCAGAGATCTCTTGGAGGGCTGATAAAAATACATTTAACAATTTACTGGTTCGCCTCCTTGTAACTAAAGAAAACAGATGGGCAGCATTGCCTCCTGGTTGGATCTGACAGTTTTATGGCAAGCAACAGGAAAAGTGGATGCCTTTTTAAGAAGGATTCTGGAGTTGTATACAAAAAGGCATTTTGTATTTTTAATGTGTAGAACAGTGTCAGCCACGCACATTACTGGGTCAGTGACTCACTAGCCTGTGGTTCCTTTTCTTTGTGACAGGGTGGGAAGATCCCCATCAGGTGGACTGCACCAGAGGCAATTGCCTACCGTAAATTTACGTCAGCTAGTGATGTGTGGAGCTATGGCATCGTCATGTGGGAAGTGATGTCCTACGGAGAAAGACCTTACTGGGATATGTCCAATCAAGATGTGAGTCTCCTTCTGAGCTTCCTCTTAATTTTCTTTCCTTTTTGTTCCCCCATGCCTTTATATTTGTCCTTAGGTGTCTGCTGTTGAGTTTCTGTGTCAACTGTTGTGTTTATAGGAACGCCTGGTGGTGTTTGAGGCCAGGCTGGATGAGGCCTTGAGCACTAGTGAGGAGGGGAGGTTGCCCATGACAGGGGGAGTTGGGACTAGATGATCTGTATGGTCCATTCCAACCCTTAAATTCTATGATTCTGTGATTCTGTGATTTACTCCAGGTTTTTAAAGGCTATCATGGGTAGTAGATTCCTGTTTTCTCAGGGCATCTCTCTGGAACTAAAATTCCTTGACTGTTTCAAGCCTGATCTATGGTCAGGGAATGAGGGATTCTCGAGTTAAAGTCTGTCACTTGTACATGGGTTTTATTTGTTTGGGGTTTTAATTTAAAAAAATACAAGCAATTAAGGTAAGAAAGAAAAATGGAGGAAGGGGAAACTAATATATTAAAGTGTCAGATTGTAATACTCTCAAGAGAGGGAAGATTCAAATGTTCATATTAAATGTGGAGTTTATTGAATGTCTTCAAGGAAAAACACTTGAATTTAATTTGGCTTCCTATTGATAGTTAATTCTTGAAGCTTTGCTATGCTTGTAAGTCTTCCAGGTGATTTTATTTCTCATAGGGTATCTAAATCAACACATAGGAAATCCAATTCCGATTATCAGTCAGAGCATCCTTGTGACAATGGCATAGCTGCCCCCCAAGGACATTAAAAAGCAGCTTTTGTAAATGACCATTCTTAAATTATGCATGTCCTGTTTAACCGTACCATCTGGACTACTTCAGTGTGTTCCAAGAGGGAGCAAGCACAATGGCTGCTCTTCCAGAAGAGTATTTAATAATAATGCTAATAAGAGCTTTTGCTAATAGAATTTTTATTAAATGGGGGGAAAAAAATCCCAGTGAAAATTGAGGCATAGATTATCCGTAATTCTTTTCCCAGGGGATTTACAAGCATATAAAGGAAGAAGAAAATGTTAATCTGAATATATGGTCGTGGGAGTGGTTAAGTCATTTTACAACTCATCTGCTTTCTTACGGAGAGCTGAACATTTTCAAAGAGTGTCTAGATGCGGATGGCATTTAATCTAAACAGGGGATATAATTTTAATTTCCTTCTGATGTGAAATGTCTCTTCTGGCACCCAATCTTGCCTTCCTTTGCTAACAGGAAGTCATCAAGACTTAGCAAGAAAATAAAACACCAGATGTGTCTCAGTTATATCAGGCATGTCTGCACAGCACAGTGAAGCTCAGAGCAACAAACACAGAGCAGTTTTTATTTGAGCTGTTTTTGTTAGGCTGGTGTACTAATGTGCACTGCTAGACCATGTCAAAAGGCTGCTTGAGCAGGACAGGGAAAGCCAATATTACTGACTTTGCACACTCTTTATGGTACATGGCGTAGACATGCATATTTTTTCTCCTTAATGATGGCAAGAGTAGTGTTTTCCACAACAAAGCAGAACTGGATTTTGAATTATACTCAGTGTCTGTTGAATCAAGATAAATCAAAAGGATCTTCATACTTTTTGGAGTAGTGAGAGCCACTTTGTTTGTGGTCACTGAAGAGCTGTTAATAATGCAAGCATAGTCCTTGCCTTGTCCTCCCAGTGGATTTTAGCCACTAATTGGACAAGTCCAGAATGAGGGAATTTGGTGCAAGTCAGTCACTGTGCACTCCTGGTTTCTAGTCTCATGGTGAGTCCTGCCAACAGTGTCATATTGATTAATTCAGATCTGAAGGCTCCCGAGTCATGTCCCTGTCATGTCAGAACTGAGTCCTGGTCATGTCCCATTCTCCTGAGAGACCTAAGGAGCCGTCAGAGTACTGAGCTATGGAGCCCTTTTTGGAGGGTTTGGAGTGACTTCAGTTTGTCAGTTTCTCTGGATTCTGTTAAATATGGAATGCATACTTAAGCTGTGTCGGACTTCTGTAAAGCTGCACAAAAGGGTTCCCATCTCTGCATGTCTTGGCTCAGAGCATATAGCAGTGAGAGAACATGTTCTCTGCAAGGCCTGTATTACTGTCAGAGATATGCCAGCCCAGGAGGACAGGGAGGAAGGGGTGATCTGCTGTGCCTTAAAAATGATGAGGAAAATACAATCTTCAACATATTGCACCCAAAACAGACAGATAGTAAAGGTTTGCTGTAAAGCTGTTGCTTCTCCAACCCTCAGTCCAACATTGCTTAATTCTAACGAGACATATTGCCCTGCTGTATCTGATATCTGCTTTGGATGCTGTACCCTTTTAGTTTTGAACTGCCGAGGAGAAATGACAGTTCTGAGACCACCAACTGCCTGAGTCTGAGTGCAATTTTCCATGTTGTTTCACTTAAATGTGGATTTGTTACCATAGTTTGGATCGCCCTAGGATAAATGATACTCAGCTGGTAGATGTGAGCACTGTCTGATGTTCTCTAATGCCTTCCTAATTATGTCATTTACAGGTTATTAAAGCCATTGAAGAAGGGTACAGGCTGCCACCCCCAATGGACTGCCCCATTGCTCTCCATCAGCTGATGTTAGACTGCTGGCAGAAGGAACGCAGCGACAGGCCTAAATTTGGACAGATTGTCAACATGCTGGACAAACTCATCCGCAACCCCAACAGCCTGAAGAGGACAGGCAGCGAGAGCTCCAGGTCAGCTGTGCTCTAGTAATGCTGATGTACGAGGGAGCAGAGTGGAGATGACAGGCAAAGCTGCAAGTGCCCCAAACCTCTGCGCTGGGTGTAAGGTGTGTGCTGGAGCTCTGCAGAGCCAAGACGGCACAGCAGCCACTGCTCTGTGCAAGTGAGCAGAGGGCTCGTGCTGGCACACTGCTGGACCCCCAGGGCACCCCAGGCTTGCCCAGCCCTGTGAGAAGGAAGATGGAATGAGCAGAGCTGTTGCTGTATCACACCAGCACTGAGCAAGTTCGCAGCACAGTCTTAAGCACGTCCTGAAAAAGCTCTGACTCAGGCAAGCTCTGTTGGAAGGCAAAGTTTGCTGCTGTCTTTTCCTTCTCCCCCCTGGTGAAAGGGCTTGAATGAGTAGGGTCGCCTTAATGCAGTGTAGCTACCAGGAGCAATGTGGTTTTCTGCAGGAAAAGCACATCATCAAGTTTTATAAACCCGAGATTTGTGTAGGATTTGTAAATGAGCATTACTGCATTACAGCCAATGCCTTGTGGGCATTGGGAAGGTGTGGATTAATTTTTATGTGAATTTGAATTTAATTTTGTGGAAAGCCAGTTTCATGTCTCCACCGATCCCGCGTTACATTTGTTTTGTTTGCTAAGCATGATATACCTGGGACGTGCAAAAGAAGCACAGTAGGAAGGAAACTCCCAGAGTTGTAGGTTAAAACCAAAATATCTTTGTTGGGACAGCTCAGCAGTTTAAGCTGGTGAAACACTGCTGATGTAATAGGAGCTTTGCTAATTTGCACCAGGTTTGTACTGGTTTTTTCAAATATCTTTTCTTTGTCAGGTAAATTTGCTTACAGCAAATATGGAATAAAAAGCTTAAAAGGAAAGAAACAAGAGGAAGATAATGGGAAAATATTTTTCCATAGAAGGGAAGGTATAAAAATATCAATTAGGCAATACAACATTAAGTTTCTCGAATCAGTGAAGGAGTTACAAAGGTTGTCTCTGCCTCCAACAGCACAACATCCTAGAAAAAGCTATTTCCTTTTTTTAAATTTAGAGGTCCCTTTGTGGCTCTTGCTTACAATGTATGTTATCAGAAGAGGGATTATTAACCCTGTGAGGCCACTATCACCACATGTCTTCCAGATTGCCCTAATTGTATTGGTAGCCTGGCAAAAATGTATCCTCCCTTGAGGCTTAAATAATTTACATGGTGAGAAGCACAATATGATCTGCTGTGATAATTTGATTTGAGACTCACACTATGAGCTCCTCCATTTTGCTTTCTTGCTAATTTACAGGTGCTCTTTGAAAATATGTAGATCTTAGGATAGTTAATAGCCTGTTCAAGGTCATTCTCTGTGTGTATATATGAGTTAATAGCCTATTCAAGGTCATTTCATGTTCATGGCTGTTTATAAATATTTTTCTTCTCTTCAGAATATGAATTTCAAATATGCATCTATCATTATTAATATATGGCTTTATACATGAAGCATAATTGTACATAATTAGGTTGCCATCATTGGTGGTGTTAGACAGTGCACTAAAAGAGTTGTTCCAAGCATTACCAGCGTATACTCAGTGCCTCGGGCAAGATGTAACTGTGTTACTGCACACCTAATCTTTGATGATGTGCATTTTCAAATAAATTGCTAAATGATAATTGTTCTGATTAGATAGATAGTAGTAATTTATAGTGGTTTAATGCAACTGTGATTTACAATTTAAGTGAAAAAAAAAACAAAGAAATGAGAAGCAAATTTTGTAAAGATAATTATTGCCAAATCTGTGTAAGGGAAAATGAGAAGCAAATTCCAGAGTGCAAAGAAAGATCAAAGCTTGCAAGATTCCTGCCACTCCTGGCACACACTCTGGTCAGGAATGGATTGATTAAAGAGGGGATTAACTCCCTGCTGCCCTAAGTTTGATTGAATATACTGAGCTTGCCTGCAGATCTGGCTAGAAACAGGATTTTTCTGCACCCGCCCTGAGTTTTGCCCTCCAAACCAGTCTGGCAGGGTGTGAGCTCCCAGTTCCTTTGCACATACTTCAGTAGTGTTTCTATAGCTGCTGAGCTGAGGTCTGACACATGCAGGATTGGCAAGGTCTGGCATTGCTGCCCGTGAGATACAGACCCAGCAGGCTGAATGCCTTCCAGCACTGCCATCTCCTTTGTTTTGGGAGTGAAAGCATTCTCTGTGAATTTGGTCGCATCTGAGGTGGAAATTCTAAGCAGCATTGTGGTTCGAATTAGATCCCAAACCCAAAAGAGAAACCTCAGGTCATATTCATTCTTAGCAAAAATCAGCTTATTACTGTGCATTTTTTGAAGTCTCTTGCATTGATCTGTGTTGATGTGCAGAGCCACCAGTTTCGTTGGGCACAGTCTCTTGCCCTTGCTTTCCCTCATCATTGAGGATAATTGTTGCAGAGACCAAACTTTGGTTTGTGGTTCATGATCCAGCTGACACCACTTCTCTGTCCTTTCACTGTTTGGCATCCAGACCTAGCACAGCCCTGCTGGATCCCAGCTCCCCTGAGTTCTCGGCGGTTGTTTCTGTCGGTGACTGGCTCCAAGCCATGAAAATGGAGCGATACAAGGATAACTTCACAGCTGCTGGCTATACCACCCTAGAGGCTGTGGTGCATATGAACCAGGAGTAAGTACTCAGCGATATAACAAAAAAACTGGTAAATCTGGATTTAATCAGCCTCTTTTGCTTTGTGCTGCATATCATCGCGCTCATTAAAGGAATGGAATGCCTTTCATTTGGATGGAGGATAACTTTAGAATGCCTCCGCTTATTTAATTAAACATTTCTGTACATCTGCCTTGCTTTTGCTAATGTTGCTTGCGGTCGACTCTTAATGTTTTTCTCTGCACCAGCATCTGATCCCTGGTTTCTCAGCCCCTGGCTTCTTCTCTTGCTTTCCACAGCGACCTGGCGAGGATCGGGATCACGGCCATCGCGCACCAGAACAAGATCTTGAGCAGTGTTCAAGCGATGCGCACCCAAATGCAACAGATGCACGGCAGGATGGTTCCCGTCTGAGCCAGCACTGAATATAAACTCAAAACTCTTGAAATTAGTTTACCTCATCCATGCACTTTAATTGAAGAACTGCACTTTTTTTACTTCGTCTCCTCGCCCGTCGAAATAAAGATCTGCAGCATTGCTTGATGTACAGATTGTGGAAACCGAGCGTGTGTTTTGGGAGGGGCCTCCAGAAATGACAAGCAGTCATTTTAAACCAGACCTGGAACAAATTGTTTCTTGGAACATACTTCTCTGTTGATCGACGATATGTAAAATACATGTATCTATATAAATATAAAGTCACATTCGAGTTTTGATGCTATGTTTGCTGCCAGATACTGTGCTTAAAAAACAACAGCATTACTTTCCTTCTCCCTGTGACCTGTAGGATTACAACCATAGTGTTTTATTTGTGGGTGAAACCACCGTTGTGCATCTTTCACTGGAATGAAGAACCTGCCCTAGGATGTTTTTGGCAGACTTCATGCATCACTAACGCCTTGCAGAAACCTCAGTGAGAATATTGTTTGGCTAATCAGTGCCTGCTGATTAGTGATCTACCCATTTACAGGCTTGAGACATGAAGTGGCCCACCTTGTGGATTACTGGGCAAAACTGGACTTCTGGGGAGATTATTGGCTGTTGTTGTGCCGTGCTGAAGCCTAACGCTGAAAGACATTTTGAGAACATCTTGCCAGTATTCAGCTGTGACAATCGTGGCTGTGGAGCTTTCAGACTTCTTTTCCCTTTCAAGAAATGATTCCCTTCGCCTCATGGAAGGTCAGTGGAAGTACAGTGTCCAGCATGTTCATGGTGCTTTATTCCTTAAACTGTGCTAGTATTTCATCACTGTTTGGGAAGAAAAAAAGGTGCTGTGGTGTGTTTTATTTGAGGCTCCCAACTAGTTTGCAAGAACCTGTGCTGGTTTCCCAGACTAATTGCTAAGTGTTTCCCATTGTTTGCTCTATTTGATGACAGTGAAAATTGCACTCTTTCAAAACCTGGCCTTGCTCTCAAGCTGTTGCATGTTAGGCTGTGCAGACAAGGTGTAGGAGTGTGTCTCAGGGCTCATCTCAGTGCTAAGAACTTGACCCCACTTCACACTGAGAGCAGTAGGGATGCCCTTATGTTTTGTGTGGAAAATCTCACACATGTGGACTCCATAGAGAGTGAGAATGACCTTGTAAATTACAGATACTCCTAAATGCTGAGGAGAATGAAGGACTTTTCCTGCCTTCTCAGGAACATCAGTGGAACCAATATTTGTGTTTTAGAAAGACCAGTTTCAGTCTTAGTGTTCGTGGTGTTGTGGGAGGGGGAGCAGAATGAAATGGGATTGTGCATGCAGCCTTCTGGTTTCACGCAGTTTGGGGGTCAGGCATGATGACAGCTCTGTGCTATGCAGCAGTGTTACAGTTCAGACACTGATCCACTCTGATCAGCTCTGAGAACCAAATTCATTCTTGAAACCAGCCCCACAGGCTGGATTATCAAGGCAGCTGTGGGTGTGAGTGCCAGGTGCAAGCTGCCCAGCTAAGATGTAATGCCCCTCTGCAGGTATGGCCAACAAGATGGAGCATGACCTGCTGGAAAAGCTGCTTTCCACCTTCTTTAAGGAATAGATGGAAAATTGAGTGAGGGAAAGCATCCCCTGGGTTGCTAGCTGGGGGAGACTGCTGTAAGAATGTGTTTGTCCTCAGTAGGTCACACAGGATAAAGCTTTATCCAGTAAAGCTCTGAACACGTTTGGGCTTGAATTTTATTTATGTTAAAGCTTTTTATTACTTTTCGTGAACAGAGTATACAAACTAGATTCTTCTCAAAGTCCTTTTGAAGACCAGAGTGATGAAGTGACCTTAGGAGAGAAACAGGATAGGCCCCTTTATGCTGTGTTGAGTGGGAGGAGGATTTTCATGACACGTCCTTTAGAACAGACATTGCATTTCAGCTGTGCCAGGCACAATGTTAGAAAGGTGAGATTTATCGTTTGATGGCACTAAGACTGGTTCCTTAGTCTATAATATTCTGGTCCCATTCCACACCTGGCAGCAAATTCAGAAATGATTTAGTGGCTTTATATGTCAGATTTTTTTAATAATTGAGTTTATTCTAAATTCAAAACAGTTCCTTCAGTTGGACAAGTCACGCTTACTGTATTGTCACTCGCATCACTTTTTGTCACTTTTAACAATAACTTATGATTTTAACCACTAACTCTCCCTCACCCCCAAGTTTCTCAGAGAACAACTTGTTCAGAATATGGGATGCTAAATTTGGATCCTGTCAAGTCATGACAGCTCAGTATAAACTGTTCTGCAGTATTACTTATAAAAGCTTTTCCATTTCAAGAAATTTGAGGTTTCTTTTAAAAAAATGACTTAAACCAGCATGTTTTAATGTCATTTTGCCAGGCAACATAAGAAGTAGTTACTCATTTTAAAGACCTGACATTTGTACT